CAATAACACAACCACAACAATGCCTCACAAAATAGCTATAGGAGGGAAATATGTACAGGATATACAATTGATTCACAACTTGATGAAAATTATGTGAAAATACTTTTGCATATCAACGAATTGGAAATAAATCAACAAAACTGAAGAAAAAAAAAAAAGCCTGGATAACAATATGACAAGAACTTTTTATTTTGCTCTCATTTAAAAACTTAACACAATGTCATACTATTGTTTTTAAAAGAAAGATTTAGGAGCTTCTTAGAGAAGGCACCTCTTTTAAATTAGTTATTTCATTAAAACCAGTTGTTTTTTTAATCATATTAAGGCTCTATAGGAAAAAAAGATAGAATTCCTTTTTTTTCTAAAAGGCTAAGTACTTCCAAGTTAGAAAGTTATTCTTACTCCCCAATCTCAAACTCAATTCTAACAACTTCTGTTAATTTGGATCTTTAATTTTGCCTGCTCCCCTGAAAACTGTTCAATTGCCTTTATTCTCTTCTTCTGTATTATTGCAGTGTTGAAGACTATTCTCCAGCCTGACTTCTTTGAAGTGTATTGCAAAAATATGGCACCATCCATTCCTCCCCCAACCCTGTCTACTCCTGTCATTTGGGCTCAATGTTTCACTGCAATGACCACACAGAACTCAGAGACAATACAAACAGTTAAGGGCTTATAGGCATGTAAACAGGTTGCAATATTGGTTCTAGCTCCATGAGTCAGCAAACCTAGCTCCCCCATTTAAGTGCCTGGAAACACCTCACTCTACAAGCAAGCTTCCTGTCCAAAGTCACTCAGCTTTCCTTGCTCCATGGGCTGGCAAGCCCACTGCTGTCTTGTGCCCTGGTTCTTGGTCTGCTTCTGCTACTCCTCTGCCATTGCTCTGATGTCATAGCTTTCTGTCCCTGGATTGAGGAGGTTCAATGTGCGGGGACGTTGGGGTCCAAAGGATGCATTCCACTCCTGGCTCTTCAACTTTTATGGTAGTAAAATCCCCTACCTGCTTCTGAGATGGTTCATTTTATACCCATACTAGAGTTTCAAGTTTTCACAACTGAATCTTGTCATTCTATCAATATCTTCTCTCACCTCCTCTTATCCAGACTCAACAGGGTAGAACTGTTGTTGGGTGGGAATAACAGACTATGGCTAGAGGAGACATTAGATAATTTACAACACCACATTTACAAGATTAGATATTCATTTCATTGAATAGGAACATTATCTACAGTAGCTTCCTATTTTCTAAAAGAGGAGAATCCATTCTACAAATATTTACTGAGCCTTGCCATGTACAAGACATTGTGCTAGTTGATTTTGGGGCAATAAAGGTGTATAATTCATGATACTTACCCTCAAGGAGCTCACAGTCTAATTAGAAGAGAAATGTGTACACATCTGTATTAGGGATAAAGAGAACAGACTAGGAGAAGGGTTCAGTGGTTCTAAATAATAGTGGTATATTAAAATAATCTGGACAGCTTTTAATTAAAACCAGTGTCCAAGCCCCATGCCCAGAGATGCAAGTTTAGTTGATCTGGTGCTATGACATATCATTGATGGTTTTTAAATCTCCCCAGGTAATTATAATGCCCAGCCAGGGTATAGAACCATTAAAGCAGGCCTCATACTTGAACAATGAGCTGTTTGAGTAAACTAAGAGTGGACAAAGACTTTCAAATTTAATACTTAAAACAATCCTTCTAAAAATAAATTATTTTACACAAAATTATATAATACAAGCATATAATTTAAAATACATTGCATTAGGCAAATCTGTTGCCCAAGTCCTTGAAAGTGTTTAAGAGCAAAGATGTCAATTTAAGGACTAAGGTGCGCCTGACCCAAGCCATAGTATTTTTAACAAGCTCACACGCATATGAAAGTTGAGCAATAAATAAAGAAGATCACAGAAGAATTGATGCATATGAGTTATGGTGTTGGAGAAGATTATTAAAAGCATAACGGACTGCCAAACAAATCTGTGTTGGAAGAACTATGCTCCTTGAAAGCCAGGATGGCCAGACTTCGTCTCTCATACTTTGGACATGCTTGGCAAAATGGAGGGACAGTGAAAAAGAGGAAGACCCCCAATGAGATGGATTGGCACAGTGGCCACAGCAATAGGCTCAAACATAGCAATGATTGTGAGGTTGGCGCAGGACAATGCTTCATTCTGTTGTGCATAGGTTCGGTATGAGTTGGTATCAACTCAATGGCACCTAGCCACAACAACATAGTTTGAAAAATCAACTATCACTAAGGCTTATGCAGTTCCTTATTCTATTCTTCTTACTCCTAACTCCCTCCATTTTGACTCTTTAATTGCTTTTTATAAAATGCATTGTTGTTGTTACGTGCTGTGGAGTTGGTTCCGACTCATAGCGACCCTGTACAGCATTTCCGATGCTGTAAATCTTTACGGGAGCAGAACGCCTCATCTTTCTCCCGCGGAACAGCTGGTAGTTTTGAACTGCTGACCTTGAGGTTCACAGCCCGATTCGTAACCACTACGCTACCAGAGCTCCTTAAAAATGCATTGTTGTTGTTGTTGTTAAGTGCCATCGAGTCGGTTCCTACCCATAGCGACCCTGTACAGGGTTTCCGAGGGTGTAAATCTTTACGGGAGTAGAAAACCTCATCTTTCTCCCGCGGAGCAGCTGGTAGTTTCAAACTGCTGACCTTAAGGTTTGCAGCCCCGATTCGTAACCACTACGCTACCAGAGCTCCTTAAAAATGCATACATCTCCCTATATCCAAATAATGTTAACACACTACTGTCATTTGAGTCACAAAGAATTAATGACTTAACTTCATTTTCTCCTACCCAAAAGTAACCTGAATTCCCCCAACCCCAGAAAGATAAAAAGAAGGAAACAAAAAAACAACAACAACACAACAGGAGAAAACACCAAGTAGTCAGCACAACAGAGACCAAGGGAGAGGATGTTTTGTTCCATGTCCAGGAAAGCTGGCCACTGAGTTCAGACTAGCCCCTCTGGGTGGGCCAAAATAGTTCAGAAAGGCAAATAAAAGAGCATCTCTAAGCCCCACCTGTTCTCCCACCTGAGATTATAGCCAAAAGAATATTTCCATACTTTCTCCAGGATTTGGGCCTCCTTGGAATTAATGAAACTATCCTAACTTTTCGAGAAGTTACCAAAAGTCTGGGAAGAGCAATTGTTTCCAAAACAATTTGAAATCCTTACAGACAGGAGAGCAAGACTGTACTAAAGAGCACAGGACCGACTCACTTACTTTGGGAACTGATTAGAGAAAGGGGAACTTGGTTTTATTCTTAATGAATTTCACACACACTGGAAAGAAAGGTGTTACATAAATTCTGCTGTGACAATCACTGCTTCGCTGGCACAATTTGGAAGGGGTTGGGGCTATCATTAATATTTTAAAAAAGAAGCAATAGAATAGCTTAAAAAGCACAGGCCAAGTGTAATTTAGGGGGTTGATGAAAGTTTAATTGAGGATTTGAACAGGGTCTTGGTTGATAGATACAGATTTTAACAGATGGAGGAGACAGAAATGGGCTTAAAGACTGAGACAGTGACACGAGCACAGGCAAAGGTAAGACTTCAGGAATCATGGTGTCCATCTAAGTTCCCTGTATACTCTGAGAGTGGATTATAAAATCATCACCGAATCATGATGGAAGAGACCAGGGATGCACAGATAGAACATCTGCCTAGATAGAACATCTTCCAGGCCAGTAGCAGAGTATATGCAGTTTCTAGTCTAGGTGATTGTATTAACATACATAGAGAACAAATGTAAACCAAGTATGTACATACTGGAGCACAGTGCAGGGAAGATTGGTGGTCAACTTGGAAGCTTTGGAAACTAGGAAAGAGGAAGGATTTTCATGAGGTAGGGGATAATGAATGAGTTAGAATCAACTCAGTGGCCCTGGATTTGGTCATCCTTGCTGTTCTTCAGTGTTGTTGAGTTCTTTCTTACTCATAGTGACCCTGTAAAGGGTTCCCAAGGAGTAGCTGGTGAGTTTGAACCACCAACCTTGCAGTTCAAACTGACTTTGTGGTCCAGTGCTCATCCTACAGCACCACACCAGGAGGATCCTTAGCATTCTAAAATTACCGTAGTTTGTAAACCATACCTATCTAGTCCTTGTGGTAGGAATGTCTCTATTTCAGAGATGATCGTAATAGTCTAACATAGCCTGAACACTTCTTATTTTTGAATCTGATTATGAACACCTCTTGCTGCAAAGATATGCTCATATAATTTGGCTTCCTTTGTTACTGTTGGATGCACTGATTAGCATAAATATCTGGTCCATTTGTTATTACAACCCTCACTATAAGTAAACAAAGTGGCATTTCCATTTATGTATTTGGTGGTTAGTGAGCTTGTTTAGTAAAGGCCAGCCCCAGGAGGCTAATCCAGACTTTGTATTAAGAGGAAATAAAAATTTGGACCTTTAGCCATAGCCAATATGAGGTACCAACCAAAGTGCTACCTTTGAGACATACAGTCAAAGTGACTACCCTGGAGAGCATTTTGCACTCACCCCCAAAAAAGGCCAGTGAATTGAGAGGCTGTGAGAAACACTGAGAGATGGAAGCAAAAGAAAGGATGTGGCTAGGAGAGAAAGTTAGAGCAGATGATGGAAAGCCTTAAAGAAGGGTTTGGCTTAAAGGTATCAGCAATGCACTGACAAGACATGAGCAAGGGATTTCATAGTATCAGCTTCTCCATTTTAGTAGAACCCCTCTACTTAAGGTTGGATTGGATTTAGGAAAACTGATCATGAAGAACCAATTATAAGTCTATTGTTCCTGAACCAGGTGATGAGAATTAGAAAAAAGATAGTGGCACTGCAAACAGAGTTGTAAGGTAAGGCCCAAGAGATTTTGCAGGCCAGTCTGCCTATTTCCTCACTTGTAACATGAAAAAGAAACAGCTGCCAGCTACTTAGGAGAAGAGACCCTGCTCTTTCTGGCTTCCTCTGCCATTTGTAATACTTTTCAAAAGGCTGCTCTCTTTTCATAAAACAGGTAGAGGTGTTTAATGGCTCTGGAGGCAAAGCAAAGTTTGTGAAATCTCTCTGACGGGGCACATTCTGGACTAATCCCAAACACAATATTCCTCTCCAGGCCTGAAAACTGCTGAATACTGTCTAGAACAATGTGACTTCCCCCAACACCAGTAGCCCGGTGAAACACAACTTTTGTTGCTCGGTAGGTCTCCATTGCCTTTAGTAGTGCAGCTTTATACCGTTGCCTATCCTCTTCTCTCTTGCACAGAATTGCTATATCTTTGGGCAGATAGCCACGTTGGAACAGGCTGTGGCATCTTTCTGCCACGCGGCTCACTATTTGCTCTTCTGACATGTGAGTCTCTGTCTCACACACCCCCAACAGAGCCTGGGCACATATTGCTTCCTCATAGGCAGCTTCCGTGAATGATGCCAATGCCTCTGGAAACATGTTGAAGTGAGTATTTTCTTTGATCCTCTTCATTTCTTCTTTCATGACCTTTGCTATTTCCAGAGCACAATGGATCCCCTTAGTGATTGTTTTTCGAGGAAACTGAGCTGAGGGAGGAGGAAGGCCATTGACATCTGCATTATAGACTTGGAAAGGATCCAGGAAAAGCCAGAGAATCCCACAGTGAAGATTTTCACACCCAGCCCCTCTCAGCTTTGGATGGGTGATATTCTTAGCCTTCATGTACCAATCACCATATTTACTGCAGAAATTCTCAGTTTCATCCATCACTATGTGTTTAATCTTTAGGAATTCTCCTTGCATGAAGGTTTTACGTGTCACTGCTTGGCAGGTGGTTTGTTGGCTATAAAAATGAAAGACAAAACAGGGTTTCAGGTATATAATCAATGGGAACACCATGCACTCGTCACTGTCTGAATTGTAATTAGAGGCTAGTTCTCCTCTGGAGACTGATTCATTAAGTAATTCAGGAGTGTCCTGAATACTACAGAACTGCTCTGTTTATAAGTTACCCAGCAAATGGAAGCTATACATTTTAAGCCCTACTCTTTGGGGTAATCTAGTTAAATCTTCATGAGAAATTTTTGAAATGACTCCACGTAGCCTTTTCTTTTTCAGTTAGTAGCCCATTTCTGCTGCTTGACAGTCCTTGATAACTAGTATCTTACATTTAAAGAAAACTATCAGAAGTAATTTATACTCATATTTAAGTAACTTATTTGACTACTGTTTCTTTCCTTTGTCCTTTTTGGTGCAGCAGTCAAGAAGTCAAAAGATGTATTGCATTAGGCAAATCTGCTGCACAAGACCTTTTTAAAGTGTTGAAGAGCAAAGATGTCAGCTTGAGGACTAAGGTACGCCTGACCCAAGCCATGATATTTTCAATAACCTCATATGCATGTGAAAGCTGGACAGTAAATAAGGAAGACCATAGAAGAATTGAGGCCTTTGAGTTATGGTGTTAGAGAAGAATACTGAAAGTGCCATGGGCTGCCAAAAGAACAAACAGATCTGTGTTGGAAGAAGTGCAGCCAGAGTGTTTCTTAGAGGCCAAGATGGCCAAACTTGGTCTCTCATACTTTGGACATATTGTCAGGAGGGTCCAGTCGCTGGAAAAGGATATCCTGTTTGGTAGGGTGAAGGGTCAGAGAAAAAGAGGAAGACTCCCAACGAGTTGGACTGGCCAGGTGACAGCATCAATGGACTCAAGCTTGGCAACAATAGTGAGGTTGGTCCAGGAATGGGCAGTGTTTCATTCTGCTGTGCATTGGGGTCACTATGAGTCGGTATCAACTCAATGGCACCTAACAACAACAACAACAACAATGCCTTGAATTGTAATTATTGATGTTCTTCTCCTCCAGTTTAGATGGTGTGGGCTTTCTGAAGAAATACACTAATTTTTAACCATCTCCTATCATCCTCACATTAGGGATTCAGTAGGTATTTGTTGAATTGAATTACACTTTTGACTGGAGTAGTTTTAAACTTAGCTATTTGTTGCTGTTGTTTGGTACTGTCAAGTCAATTCTGACTCATGGTGACCCTGTGTAAGGTTTCTGAGAAGTGGCTGGTGGGTTTGGACCACCTACCTTGTGGTTAGCAGTTCAGTTGCAACAACAAACTTAGCTATAAAGCATAATGAAGAACGTAGTGCTTGGCACAGGTTCACAACCTGACATCTGCCACCTCTCTGACTTCATCACCTGCCATATACCCAAACCCAGTCTCTTTACCAGTCAGACCTACCATGCTAATTCTTTTGTTCTTCATGCCTTTGCATTTGATGTGACCCATTTTATTTATTGGAACCAACCTGATGGCACCTAACAACAACAACAACAACAACAACAACTGGCTTTGTAAGATTGAGCCCAAGGATCTCCTTCACTGGGTGAACTAGCAAACTAAGTTTCAGCCTGAGTTAAGATGAATATACATTATTATATTACACATGAAAGTTACACCATACTCTCTTTGTTGATTTTTCCTTTATCTCCCTTATTGGGCTTAATGGCAAGATCTTCAATATGCTTTTTCCTTCTCCGGTAGCATAGTGGTTATAAGTTGAACTGCTAACTACAAGGTCAGCAGTTTGAAACTACCAGCCATTCTGTGGGAGAAAGATAAGGCTTTTTGCTCCCATAAAGATTTACAGCTTTAAAGCCCTAAGCAGGGTTGATATGAGTTGGAACCAACCCCACGGCACATAATCGTGTCAACCAATACACGTCTAGCACAGTGCTGAATATATAAATGTTGTTGTTGTTGTTGCTAAATGCCATCAAGTCAGTTCCAAACCATAGTGACCCTGTATAGTGTTTCTGAGGAGCAGCTGGTGGATTTGAGCTGCTGACCTTCTGGTTTGCAGACCAGTGCTGATCCCATAGCACCACAAAATGATTTGTTGAATAAATAGGTACAGTAAATCAAAAGTCTAAATGAATTTATTTTCATCTGATGTATAGATTTGATGTATAAAAGTTGTATCACAATTTTTTTCTGCCAAAAGTTATTTAGATCAGAAACAAATGTACAGGTTTTCCAATAATACTGATTCAGTACAAGTCAAACAAATGAACATATTTTATCAAAAAAATCAAATGACATCGGATACAAATTCCTGGTAAATAAAATGACTGGTTAAGTGATTTACTCTGTGATTTTAAAACATTATAAAGAAAAAGGTATATTTTAGTAAAATAGATTAATTTTAATTTTTCTAAAATTTAAGATTGGAGATTGTGAAAGCAAATAAAAAACCCCAATAGTTCTACTTCTAGAAATTTAAAGTTATGCACATATATATACTTGGAGTATGCATGTGCATATATATGAGATGTCTGACTGAACACTGTAAATTACCTGCCTCAACCTCAACTGCCTGATAATTTGTAAATGTGTGTATTGTAAATATGTATAAGTGTAAGTTTTAAGAGTTCCTCTTGTACTTATTCAGCTAAGATCACTGCAAAATCTTAAACTAAAAACACAAATCACTTTTGTGATACTACTGAAAAGACTAACTAAATACATTTATTATGTTTGAAACTCTTACCTCACAAAATCCTTTAAGGGGTCATTTTCACAAACATAGAGGATCTCTTTTGGTGTGCAGTGGAACAAGTTCTTAATCTTCTCCACAGTCTTTATGGCTAGGGCTGTTTTCCTGGTCCCTGGAAAGCAGTGGATAAACAGCTCTCGTGTCTCCTGAAGACTTTCTGCAAGCAGCTCACACTGTTCTTCTATGAGCAAGTTGAAAAATTCACAGCCCAGCTGGTCACTCAGAAGAGATCTTGAGCACAAGGAGACCACCACAAGGGCCTGCAACAAGTCTTCCATTTCAGACTTATCCATAAGCCTGTAGGATTGGGGGTAGTGCACAGGGGTTTCATCAGGAATGCCCTGTATAAGGGGCAGGTGCATCAGCCTTGGAATGACACACAGTTTTCCTGTGTAACCACCAACATTTTCGAGATTTTGCTTTAACTGATGGGCAGTGTTACGGACATATTCCAGTCCTTCAGTCCACCTGGTGTCTGCTAAAAGTGTATAGAGTATTGGGGGGCTATTAACTGCTATTAGGAGAGCATCACACAGCACATTCTGCTCTTCCTTCAAGCCCATATCACCAGCCCAGCTTCTAGAAAATATTACAATCCCCTGAGAACAAGGATATATCTGTGTCTTCATTAATTCCTCCAGTCCTTTGTGATCTGAGAATAACTTACTGCAGAGAGACTCTGGTTTAAATTGTATTTCCTCCCGTGTCACTGAAAACGAGAAGAATAAAAGTAAATTACCAAAAACACACAGAAGTATATTGTATCTACGTAGTCCGAGTGTAATATCATAGAGAAGAAATGGCTGTAGCCATGAAACTCTGGGTTTCCTTGTCTGCATAGAGAGATCAACCACGTCTGTAGGACCCAGGCCTGAGATAAGAAGTTTTGAGTTTTCATAGCTCTAGCAAAGGGGAAGATTATCAGGGAGCAGTCTTTACAGACCACCTCCTGGAAATGTCCCCTCAGTGTCAGGCAGCCTAGCTCGGACGGGAAGGCAAGCCTTCCTGTAAAGGGTCTTTTTCTGTATCTGATACTTTTATGGAATTAAGAGTTCTCTTTTAGAACAGTGATTAATAACTGCTGTTGTTGTTAAGTGTTACCAAGTTGGTTCCAACTCATAGTGACCCTACATAGGGTTTCCGAGGCTGTCAATCTTTATGGAGCAGAAAGTCTCATATTTCTCACATGGGATGGCTGGTAGTTTTGAACTGCTGACCTTGAGGTTAACAGCCCGACTCGTAACCACTACACTATCAGAGCTCCTTATCTATATTTCCTAGGGAGCCTTTGACAATGTCTGTAGACATCTCTGGTTGTCACAACAGCAGGGATGCTAAAAGCATCTAGTGTGTAGAGCCAGTGATGCCGCTAAGTATCCTGCAATGCACAGGACATCCATCACAGCCTGGCTCCAATGTCCATAGTACTGAGGTTGAGAAAGCTACTTTACAAGTTTAGTTGACCCTGTGACTCCTTCAGAATTGGCAAGTCAGGGGACAGTCCTCTTATGCCTAAGAAAATCTTAAAACCTAAGGAATTCCAAGTATTCTCAAATTTGGAGGACAAAAGCTACATATAACTAACCAGAAGTCCAACCACAAGTAACAGTGAGGAGTAGAAAGTATAATGGGAACTTGATGACTGACAGACAAGGTCAAGTGTATTATTTCAGGACCATTATGCCTACTAAGTCCTACATTTGACCTTACTTAAGGAGAAAGGTTTGGACTAATTGCTATCAATTTTCCCCATTTAATTTTAGAAAATAAATATTCCCCTCAGCTGAAATCCAGAGGGAATACCTGGAAACAAACGCCGTTGCAGAGTCCCCTTAAATTCTAGGACTTTTATGGGACATACTGGGCTTCTGAGTGCAGATGAGGATGGTGAAATCAGATGAGAGCTGTAGTCTGTAGGCAAATTGGAAGGAGCTAAACAAATACACAGAAAGTTGTTTAAGACAATCAATCAATCAATCAAAAAAACAAAAGACTTCCTTTCTTGCTTTTCTACTGGAAACATGGGGTGCACATCCTCCCTGGACTCTCTCACGCTTACTATGCCTCACATAGTTCACTTCACATGTGTCCGGTTAGGAAACACGAGAACTCCTGAAGTATTATATCTATTAATTCACTGACTCTTCTTGGACAAGTCATTTTACCTTCTCTCTCATGCAACAATGATCTGATGATCCCTAAGTTTTCTTCCAACTCTAATATTTTGATTCCAGGTCAGCTATAAGTGGGGTCAGCAAAAGTTAAGCACAGTATTGTTATTGTTGTTGTTAAGTGTCATTAAGTTGATTCTGTATAGGGGTTTTCAAGGAGCAGCTGGTGGGTTTGAACTGCCAACCTGTGGCTCACTGATCCTACAGTGCCACACCAGGATAGAATATATATATGCTTCAAAAAGTTTGTGGAAAAAAATTACATTGTCTTTTAATGCAATTTTCCCATGAACTTTTTGAAGGCTCCTTGTATATACTTGTAGTTATTTAAGGAGTCCATGGGTGTCACAAATGGTTAAGTACTTGACAACTAGTTGAAAGATTGGTGGTTTAAACCCATCCATAAGCACCTCAGAAGACAGTTCTGGCGATATGCTTCTAAAAGATCATAGCCTTGAAAACCACATAGAGCACAGTTCTGCTCTGCACATTGTTGTTGTTGTTAAGTGCCGTTGAGTTGGTTCCGGCCCATAGCGACCCTGTACAGGGTTTCCGAGGGTGTAAATCTTTACGGGAGTAGAAAGCCTCATCTTTCTCCCATGGAGTGGCTGGTAGAGGGTGCTAACTCAACAGCAACTGACAACAATTGTATAACTGTTTAAGTTCCATCCAGTGTTTAGATGGACTAGAAAGTAACAGGATCTCCAATTTGTATGTGTATGTATGTGTGAGAGAGAAAAAAACTCAAACAAATTTAGGATAGGAGAAAGAATGATCCAATAAAATTATCTTTTATCTCAAGTGTTGATCCAAGCTTCTTTTTTTACCAAACTAGAACCTAATGACCATGAAGGCACTAAGTTTATAAGCTTAGTTCTGCCTATGGATTGATTAAGATCTAGCAAGGCTGATTCTAAGCAAAACAACAAGGAGTATGAAAAGATCATTTGTCCACCTGGCCCACTGCCATCTTTGGCCTCAGCATTTCCATCCATTTTCCATAGTTTTGCTCCACTTGGTGGTGCCTCAAACTCAGTGGTTGATGGTATTAGCACCTAAAACACTTTTTTTTAAATGCCACAAAGAAATTCAACTTTGTCAGCAATGGTTCCTTTGAAAGAATTTGTGAAGAGCCATTCTTAAACACAGTTTCTCTGAAATATCTTTAGGGTGTGACTGTTGATGACAATTTTTGACTTGAAAATTTTCTTTTTAAATAGTCCTTTACAGGAAAAGTGAACTTTCACTAATTAGTGGCTAATGGAACACCAAACCTTTCCAAAATCGACTTAAAATCCAAGCATTTCTTGACCTCAAAGAGTTCATATTCTAAGTCACTGGAATTTAAAGATAATAGAAAAAGGACTCTGCAGTCGGGAAAGCATTTATAAGAAAAGGCAGCTCTCTAGCCTTGAAGTAAAATATCTGACAAACAAATACCCACCAAAAGCAGAGGAGGGAGTTCATTCCTGCCCACTGGCCAGTGACTTTGTACCCACTTTACCTGACGGAATGTCCAGCATCAGAGCTACCCAGTGCTCAGCTGACAACCTTGTGACAGAATTGTTCCTCATGATCCAGGAATCTGGGGCATCTGCGAACACGACACAACAGAAGGGCTCCACTTGTACCACACAGACATAACCATGTAGGACATCTTTTTGATACACATTCAAGATTTTGGTAGTGAAATTCACCTTGGGCTTCTCACAGCAGAAGTGGAATGTGGTCAATTTTTCTATGCAGTTTTCAATTTCTTTTTTCAGTAAGCCAGGGTTTACTTTCTCCTTTTTACATCCAAACACTTCTTTGCTCTTATCATCTACCCCAATAATTAGGTATCCCCCTTGAGTGTTGGCAAATGCAGAAACGTAACGAGGCAGCATGTCTTTCATCCGAGACACAATCTTTTTGGTGGTGAATCTTTTTAACTCAACATGGGTTGACTCAGTGAAACTGAGTTTCTCCTTATACATGAGTTTATCTTTTTTAAAGAATTCGGAGGCAGATGTCTTCATATCTTCTTCTTCTTGGATATGCCTCTTAGGAGCTTTCTGAGAAGGCAGTTCACTCACCCTTGGTCTTCCTCTTTGGACTCTGGCCTGCTTCTCTCTGAGAAGCTCCAGGGAATTACTGGCATTCAAGTTGATAATGGAAGTCACATCTCTCTGATACAAATGGGACTGCAGGCTACAGATCCTTAGGGGGAGGCCGAAAGTACCTGGGCTCCACGACTTCACAAAAATCAGGAGAGTGTGTTGCTGCTGCATGTAATCAAGGTATTTTTGTGTACCTGAAGGAAGAAGCTTTTGAAAAGAAGTTTCCAGATCCTGTCCCAGCCCATGGCATTGGTAACTGTATGTCTTATCATCAATCTCTGCTTTAATCACACCCCCTCCAGAATTTAACAGTGCACAGATAGCTTGGACGATTTTAGAATTCTCTGTCCTTTTCAAACAGGTGTTGGTCATCGTCTTCCTGTTCTCTTCTCCAAAAGTCACTCTGCCCACCTCTACAACTCTCTCAGGATAGGGTGTGTCCATATCAGTCTTGGGATGCTCCATTTCAGTAGTCTTTAAACAACAGTAGGAAGGGGCTCCTATATTAAAAAAACCAGGACAGAAATGTTGTTTCTATATTGACCAAGTATTCTAGCAACTACGGTATTTTTTTCAAAGTTATAAATTACTGGAGATACATGTTGTTGTTGTTAAATACCATGGAGTTGGTTCCGACTCATAGTGACCCTACACAGGGTTTGCAAGGCTGTAAATCTTTATGGGAGCAGAAAGCCTCAAAGTAATCTTAGATAATGTTTTTTTTTTAGCAATGTTGCCAATATCTTTCACCCTCCCAACTTGAAAATGAATAATGATGAATGCTTAGTATTGTATAATGACGGGGAAATCATATTTCTGAAAATTTCATTCTTTTCCCATTTAAGATCAGTAAATGACAATATTGAGGCCAGATATAAAGGACTTGGGTTGGCACAGGAACCAAAATGAGTTATTAAAGAATATGCAGGAGTCGAAGCCAGAAGATGGGCCATCTTACAATTCAAGGGGTAAAGAAAGGAAAAGTAGAGGACTAAGGAAGTGTTGTTTTGGAGTCTGTGTGACATAGAAGGTTTTGCTATAAAATTTGGCAATTTTTATGAGCAATTTTATACATTTAGAAAGCTTTAGGCTATTTAGCACTTGAAACACTCTTCTAAGTTTTAGAAGCACATTTCTTCCAATGTAGTGTGACTTGTGGGAGCAGTACTTTTCTCCCCCTCCTAATTGTTGTGGACTGTTGTTGTGGACTGTTAGGTTGGTTTGAATCTCAAGTTCAATGTCACCAGGTTCAATGTCATCAGCCGCTCCTCAGAAAACCTATACTGGGTTGCTAAGTGTCAGAACCGACTTGGTGGCACTTAACGACAACAACATACTATGGAAAAGAATTCTAGTGTGGCACTGTAGGATAAGCACTGAACCGCAAGGTTGGTTCGAACCACAAGGTCGGTAGTTCACACTCACCAGCTGCTCCTCAGAAACCCTATACAGCGTCACTATGAGTCGGAACTGACTCAGTGACTCTTAACAACAATACTATGGAAAAAAAGCATGAGAGCAGGGACTAGCAATCTGAGTTGACATTGGGACCTTGAAACAAATATTTCAGAAAGCACCCTCTACTAATTGCAAAACAAAGTATTTACTAACCCAAACCAAAATTCTTCCTCTAGGGGAAGAGAACTTATTTTTTTCTCTGTCATAAATACAAGCCAGATACCCAGAGGGACATGTAAGAAAAGTAACTTAATGTCACATATCCTCTAACCTTCAGTTACTTTTCTTATTTTCTCACTTATTCCAGGCAAACCCAAATCAGCCTGAAGAATTGTTTTTTTTTTAGTATGTGAGCATGTCCTGTAACCCAAACCAAACCCACTGCAGAGTTTATTCTGAATCAAAGTTACACACCAGGACAAAGGAGGACTATCCTATGGGGGTTCAAGGTTGCAATCTTTAAGTAAGAAGACTGCCACATCTTTCTCCCATGGAGTGAGTGGCTGGTCGGTTCCAACTGCAGACCTTTTGGTTCACAGCGTAGTGCTTTAATCATTATAGTACCTGGACTTTTGCGAGCATCTTCTGTGGGTACATGTAAATATGGCATTTTATGGATGGCCCCTTGAAGAATTATTTTCAGTATTATCCTCTTCATATCGTAGAATCACAGACAATTCGAAGGGATTTCTAAAGATATTTCAATTGAGCCATCTATGTGATTCATAAATCCCACTAAATTATTCCTAATCACCAACAAATTGCCCTCCAGCAACTGCTTGAACACCTCCAGCAACAAGTAACTCACTGTCCCTTCAATTTTCCAACAGCTTTGTTAGAAATGATTTCCTTATTTTGAGCTATAATTTAGCTTCCTATAGTGTCCATCTGCTGAGAGCCACAGAAGAAATTTATTTTGAACTAGTAGATCTTAAACTCTCATGACTCTGAAGTCTCCTTGATGTTACCTGTGCTATTAACAATGACAATACATACAAAGTTTTCTGAGATTCTAACTCCATGTGAACAATCTTTTCACACTTTACAGAATTCCTCACGTAGTCTCTTTTGTAAGTTTCTCTTTAGCGAGTATTTTACTAGCCCTTTATGTCCTCAGACATAAAATGTATATAAATAGATGAGGTTTTTTTTTTAAAAAAAATGCTTTTTACCTGAAGTTAGTGCTTTTTCCTCTTGCTGCTGCAATTCCACATCTGGCTTTGGTCTGAATGTTTGCTTTCTGCCACAGTCCCTGTTGCTCTTTGATATCAGCCAGGGAGGAGCAGGAACTCTGCCAGACTCTTCAAGTCTCCATAACATTGACCCACTGAGGAAGGCTGATAAGGACTTAAGAAAAGCCTATGACTGGACACATTAGTAGGCCAGGGTTTGAGCGCTGAGAGTAAATAAGGTAGTAATGGGGAAATTCTGGGGTTGTCCTGTCAGGAGCCAATGCCGAACTTACCATCTTTAATGGACTGAACATCATTTCCATGTACTTATATAAGCACCTCTTGCTCTGGCTAATTTCATTTGCAAAGTTCTACATACATACAATCATGACTGTCCTGTATTGTTGTTGTGAAGTGCCATCGAGTCGGTTCCGACCCATAGCGACCCTGTACAGGGTTTCCAAGGGTGTAAATCTTTACGGGAGTAGAAAGCCTCATCTTTCTCCCGCGGTGCGGCTGGTAGTTTCGAACTGCTGACCTTAAGGTTCGCAGCCCGATTCGTAACCACTACGCTACCAGAGCTCTAGATTATATATGTATATATTTTGTGTGGCACAGGAAACTTCCAAGCTTCCAACTAGCCTATAAGTTCCATTGTTGTTGTTAAGTGCCATCGAGTCGGTTCTGACTCATAGCGACTCTATATAGGGTTTCCAAGGAGTGGCTGGTGAGCTTGAACCACCGACCTTGCAGTTCAAACCGACCTTGCAGTCCAGCGCAGTAATCTACAGCTCCTCAGCAGGACTCCATATGGTCTATTCTACTAGTACACACAAACACACAAAAGACAAAACAAAAAACTAACTAAACCCAATTCAGTGGAGATGATTCCAATTCAAGGTGACCCTGTGTGTTTCAGAGTAGAACTGTTCCATTGGTTTTTCTCGCCTGTGATCTATGTGGATAGGGGGCCTGGCAGTACAATGGTGGCTGGTAACTGAAAGGTCGGCAGTTTGAGCCCACCAGCCACTCTGCAGTTCTGCTTGTGTAAAGACTGTTGTTAGGTGCCATAGAATTGGTTCCCATTCATAGTGACCCTCCTACAACAGAAACCCCGCCCCCCAGACCCACCATCTGTCCTGTATTGCTGTTTGAGCTCATTGTTGCAGCCACTGTGTCAGTCCATCTCATGAGGGTCTTCTTTGTTGTGCTGATGGTCTTCTCTCTTCTGATAACATAGCCAATGCCTAGGATATCAATCTGTATGGGTTCCATTTCATTTTTGACAACTTCCAATTTTCCTAGATGCATGCATTCCATATTGTAATTATGAATGGATATTTGCAGCTTTTATTTCTCATTTTGAATCATGCCACATCAGTAAGTGAAAGTGCCCAAAGTTTTGTTCCATCCAGGTCATTAAGGTTGACTAATTTGAGGAAGCAGCTCTTCCCAGTCATATTTTGAGTGCCCGCCAACCCGAAAGACTCATCTTACAGTACTATATCAAACTTCTTCTGCTATTCCTAAGGTTTTCAGTGGTCATTTTTTTTTTTTTAGAAGTAGGTCACCATGTCCTTCTTAGTCTTAGTCTGGATGTGCGGCTGAGAGTGGTCCACCATGAGTGACCTCTCAGATTTGAAATACTGGTTGGTGGTATAGCTCTCAGTATAATCACAATACAAAGCCACTACAGTTGGACAAACTGATAGACCAGCCGAAAAGAATACAGCCCAGGAAACTTGATGAGGTAGTTCTGCCCAATCCTATAGGGTTGATTTGGGCGGGAATCCACTCATGGCACACAAGTCTTTGTGGAAGCAGATCACCAGATCACCTTTAGGTTAGTTGTTTAAGTCAGTTCTGACTCATAGCAATCCTGTATAGGGTTTCAGAGGCTGTAAATTGTTGTTGTTAAGTGCCATTGAGTAGGTTCCAACCCATAGTGACCCTGGATGGGGTTTCCAAGGAGCGGCTGGTGAACTTGAACCACCGACCTTGAGTTTCAAACTGACTTTACAGTCCATCACATTAACCCACAGCGTCACACCAGGACTCCTTGCAGGAGCATAAAGTCTCATCTTTTTCCCACAGAACCGCTTGTGAATTCGAATCGTGGACTTTGTGGTTGGCAGTCCAGGACATGAGAACAAACTGAGTCACTCACGGATTTTTCCCTTAGGACTGAGAGGGCCATTTCATCTGTGTCTCCACCCCAGCCCTCAATTGGAAATCTGGCACAAGCGCAATAAATACTGTGGGATTATTGTCTGAATCACTAGTTCTTCCAGTTAGCCCAAGGTACAACCTAACACTAGGATCCACCTCAAGTGACCTCCCCCAGCTGTGAAAACAACACACCCGCCAAGCCTTGGGAGCTCTGGTGTGGCGTTCTAAGAATAAGGTGCTGTTGCTGTGTACTGTCGAGCCGGTTCCGACTCATAGCGACCCTGTATATGGTTGCTGTGTTGTAAATCTTTACGGGAGCAGAAAGCCTCCTCTTTCTCCCGTACAGCGGCTGGTGGGCTCGAACTGCCGACCTTGTGGGTCGCAGTCCAGTGCTTCTGTCCAGAGCCACCACGTTCCCATGGAAACCCTATACAGGTTCCATATGCGTCAGAACGTCACTTAACAAAATCATTCTGGTTAACAATGGCCTTGCAATCAAAGAGCAAGGATTGTTGGAATTTTTTTTTTTTTTTTTGCTCAGAGGAATAAAGCGACTCAAGTGGCTCTTAAGAGAAGAGTCCCGGACGCAAAGAATTGACTGAAACTGAGCTCCACCACGACACTCAACTAGGAAGTCTTCCTCCGCCTCCGGTTGGTTGGTTCGCT